TAGGTCGCTAGGGCCGTTCTTTACAGTCACGCCGTTCCACTTTTCGACGTCTACTTCGACGTGTGCATTAAAATCGCCCATTAATATGAGGGACTCTGTATTCGGCACTTCGGACAGAGCACATTGCACTTCCTCAAGAAAAGTGTCATATTCTCCTTCCAAATTGGGCGCATAGACCTGTACCAAGGTCAACGCTTTAGGTTTTGGTGCTTCAGTTGGAGGATTACCACCCTTCCGTTGACAGGCTTCCAATCAATGATTCTATAAGCGAAGAAACCGGCCTGTGCGCGCGTCGTGATATCGACAACTGCGTAGAATAGCTACCACCCGCAGAGGTTCAGGATTCCAGAACCTTGGCGCTTGGTTGACGAGAGTCAAACTATGTCGAGTTGGTACTCCATATCCTCATCAGCTAATTCTTCTTCTTTCCCTCTAACTGAGAATATGTTCCAATTTCCGACTGTAAGCTCCCACAAGCGGTGTCTTTCTTGTGGAGACTTTTCTGACGTGCTATAATGACATCGCGCTGTCTGCCTCCTCCGTTCAGAACGGGTAGCGACTCCGTTGCTGACTGGTATCTTCATCGTCGTTGCGTCGGTCTTCTTCAGCCGTCGTTGTGGTGCCACGCACCCGGCTGGCAGAGGGCAATGAGCAGGTTCTGATCGCCGACTTTTCGCAGATAACGGGTAGCGACTCCGTTGCTGACTGGTATCTTCGTCGTCGTTGCGTCGGTCTTCGTCAGCCGTCGTTGGCTGCCACGCCCCCGGCTGGCAGAGGGCAATGAACCAGGTTCTGATCGCCGACTTTTCACAATCTGCCTCAGTCCCCCAACAGTCTGCACGGCCCTTGGTAACCCGAGCGACGACCAAGCCCGTATAATTTTTGATGAGGCCTGTTTTGGGGAAACTTTGCCACGGTCTCCAATCCTCCTGCTTTTTCATCCGGGCTTGCGACCAGCATCGGCGCAGGTAAAAGACTTAAAAACGTAGTCAACGACATATGCTTCTAGACAAATGCCAAGAGTGCAATAAGAGGCCGAGAGCTGTAAAACATTAGCAATGAACAAAAGAAAAGAAGCCAGTCTTTTTCTTAATGACAAGCAAAATGAAATGATAGCTGAAGGAAATACAAAATGGAGACCAAATGATAATTGGAAGGAAGGAACCTTCATAGAAGCCGTTTTGCATTTGTATCTGTTTCAAAAGAGAAATAAGGATGACAACAAAAGAAAGGAAATCAAATTAATATTATTAACTGCAATTAATGAAACACGAAAATTTCAACTTACTATCTGGTTAGCAGTTCTGTTTTCTCTTCGTTTGACATAACGACGTGTTCTGGGACAAGCTAAATCAATCACAAGTAAAAAACAAAATTATTTGTACGAGATTACCTCATGTTCCGTTATGTTAACCATGAGTTCAGCCTCGAGAAACTGCTCCAATATATACTTCGGATACATGTCGTTAAGAGCCTGAAATTTGAGCGAATGTGACACAACCCTTAAATTAAAATCAAACATTCACTAACGTAGCAAGTTTGCAACAATAAGCTGAGAAACTGGACCAACACCATTTGCATTACTATATGATAAATTCATCGTCTGCTCATAAGAATAACAACATAACGCATACTTCGTACACATGAAATTATGATGCTTGGGTTCTCGTCCTTGACCATTCACGTCGTTAAGGAAATCACTTTCACAATTCTCATACAACATTCATCAAGTACTGTACTATCAGAAATTCCGTCAACTGTGCTATGTGCCATCATTTTCTGCTCAGAAGCTAGACAATGATGAAAACTCCACATACTTTAATCAAGAATAAATACGAGTAATGGTTCCAAAACCTTTCGATTGAGCTTGTAATATGAGTGTTAATATATTAAACAGTCTTGCCTTAAAGTGCATAAAAAGCCTTGCTAGTCGACCTTTTCAGGTTACATGCATACCTCCACGGCTATGCACTACCGAAGTCGAGGAGGACCAGAAAATACCGTTCTGGTGAAAAGGTCGCCATTACAAAAGTATAAGGTTTCCGTTTCTCAGAAGCCTATCTGCTTTAGTAAGTATCTACACCCTATCTCGTGTCCTCCTATTCTTTTTAGGAACATCGTAAAGAACATGTACTCAGATGTAACTTAACTTTCGCCCCAAAAATGTGGAAATTTCACACATGTCAGATGTTCTTGCGAATGAGTATTTGAAGAACACACTTGACAACGAACTTAAAAAAGTCGCCTCAATGTAAATCGATGGTTATTTCATCACACATATTCAAGGTAGCTGCGCCAATGGGATTGATGGTTTGCACACGACTGGTGTAATACTGGACATGCTTCTGTTTAAAAACATTTTCTCAGCAACACAGAACGGGCGGTGAATGCCATTTACTCAGTTAGTCGATAGTACTAACTACGATAATTCAACTGACTAACATTCAAATCGATTTACTTATGATTACCACGTCGTCAAAGCCAAGGATACAAAAAGCAGTCCTTCAATAAAAACAAAACATATAACAGATACGCTACAAGGTGGGTCATTTACGACGTCACCTATATGCAAGTAAATTATTACACCATCTTCAACCGCTGTTGGTTAATTTAATACACAATGGGTTTGTTTCCTTCTCGCTGTTCATTAGATATATCGTTTACGATATAAAATACATATATTTGCCCAGATTCGAAAACATAAAATCTTATTTATGTATAATCAATCAGTCAAATTCGATGATCGCTTGTATCCTGTATCCGACAGAGAGGCAGCAGAGGTCTGAACTTCAGCACAAGATAACCCGAATTAAAGCAAAGTTCGTCGAGGCACTTGTTCCAGGTAATTTTTGGCTTTTACGAAGGTCTTCAGCCCGTCGGTTAGGTAAGTAGCGTCTGTTCCGCCTTCCATTCTTGAGGCATTCGCAACACCTAACCAAACCATCACATGGGTAACTTCTCAAACTGGAGAAGCTCTGTCGAATATATTAACTCCAGACATTACCGAGACGGACTTTCCTGAGTCGCATAAGCACAGCAATTCGTTAAGGTCATTTCAGCCGGTTGTACCTGAGATCGAAATTTCTTACGGTCAAAGACTAAGAGAATATAGATGTGCAAGGGATGAAGATCGACTAGAACATTGAAAAGCTAATTTTCAAACTCAATCACACGGTTCTGGATGGTTCATTTATGCACTATGGCAAGGGCAATTAATTCATGTTCATAAAGAAACAACATAAACGACAATAAATTCGCTCATTT